CCAACCCTAGGGACGCCTATCCTGCCATCACAGAGATTAGCTTCCTCTTATTGATCCAAAAACCATCTAAGTCTTGATATGCTAACCATCCCAGCACTTATTCTATAGGTCACTGGTTCTTAACCTTGGGTTACTCAGGAGTTTTGGACTGCAACTCGATGCCTATCCTTCCTCTTATTGATCCAAAAACCGTCTAAGTCTTGATATGCTAACCATCCCAGCACTTATTCTGTAGGTATACACAATTTGTTTTATACATATCCATAATACTGTGGTGTTTGTGTGGTTGCACATATACATATGTGAAATAAATTGACACACACATCATAAATGTATATTCTGTTACCTTTTTGGAAAAACAAGGCTTGCCTCAAACTGGAAGATAAAGAGATGGCAAACAGGTGACAGGATTCTTAAAACTTTATGTTTTTTATTTATTTATGGAAAATACTTTTTATAAGGCATTTCGTTTGCTTCAGTTTGGTTGATTATTTTAATTTTCTGAGGTTAAAATGTAATCAGGAACTAATGAACTCTAAAATAATTTTTGTCTAGAATTTTTATTGTTTACTATATATTTGATTAATTTATATCTTGCTCTCTATTTCTAAGCTTAATTTTTCTTACAAAGCACAGAATGTTCTCCCCACTAAAGATAATCTCTAGGGAAGCAATGCAATCAAGGGCAGGGATTCTCAAACCATAGTTTTTGGACCCCCACAGAGATTTATGGGGCTGGGGGGGTGTCTATGAACTGGGTGCACACAAATGTAGTGTATATGCATTTACATGCATTTTTTCTGGGGAAGGAGTCCACAGCTTTCATCAGATGCTCAAAGGAGCCCATGACCCAGAAAAAGCAAAGTATGATTAATCTAGATGATTCATATTTTTGGAAGATAAAAGATTAAAGAGGCAAAATGAAATTCAAATGGCATTGTATACATAAAATCCATTCAAAACAAAATAAAAATGGTAGGTATCTGTACTATCTTGTGGGCTGGGCAAACCCAAAACAGGGCTCTTACAACTTTGATAGACAATGAGATTTCAGAAAGTGCAGCTAGAGATTTTTTTTTTAAAAAAAATTCTGGTTTTTTTGGTCTTTGGGTTCAAAATCCCACTTCTGGTATGGCCACTGGTTCATTCACATGGAACGTTTGTTCTTCCCCACATTGTACTGGTTAATCCTGAATGAGGACTGATCTTCCTCAGGTTTCTGTCTACAGTTGTTTCTAAAATCCCACTTCACTTCTTTTCCAGCAATCAGCATCTTCGAAAAGAATGATTCAGAAATATTTCAAAAAGCTTGAAGAAATGATTTTAAAGTGCTCTGAAATTGATTTTTTTAACTTAAAAAAATTAGGATTATCATTGAAAGTTTCCGATCATAGCCTTTTTAATTGGAGATTCACCTCATTGCTAGTTTATTTTGGAAACTGGCTCTCTTGCACAAACAACAAGAAAGAATTTAACCTCTTTAAAGAATGGTCATCTGGGTTGGATGCTTGCTTGCTTGCTTGTTTCCACAAACACCGAAAGCTTCCAGCCCACAAGATTCTTACCATCTGAACCTCATTCACTCCAGTACAAAGCAAAACAAACACACAAACTCTACTTTAAGGAAGTGGCACTTTTTAAAAATGGAAAGCCAGGGTTTTTATCACTCTTTGTCACTACTGATACCAGTTTAAGCCTTGTATCATCTGGACAGCAGGGAACATACTGGTATCATCTGTGAATCATCAGGCACATATAGCAGTGGTTCCCAAACTTGGGTCGTCAGATGTTCTTGGACTAAAAATCCCAGAAACCTTCACTACTAGCTGTGCTGGCAAGGATTTTTGGGAGTTGTAGTCCAAGAACACCTGGGGACCCAAGGTTAAGAAGCACTGATACAGAAGAACAAATGTTTTGTCAGGATGGGTTCCAAGATGCGCCAGACTCTACAAACTCTGCAAAGGACTGCTGAATGTTTAACAACAACTTTTGCTTATTATTTGTTCACTTGTTCACTATGAGTATGCCTCCATTGGGTATTTCCAAGGGGTAGATTAGGTTCCTCTAGTTTTCTGCTTTCCAAGGACAGGTCAAAAATCTTTGTGGATACGATTGTCAGAAAAAAAAAAAAACACGAGAAATTAAATCCACCACACCTTTTGCAGATCCCTTTATCCTCAAATTCTGCCCCCCCCCGAATCTCGCTTCATCCTTCTCCATCCTTTCTATGCCCAAATTATGCCCACTTAAAGCTCTGAGCTTTTCCTTCGCTACTGCTAGAGCTCCTAATGATGCTAGGTTAGCAGCTTCTCTTATGATCATAATACTGCATCCTCCATCTAATTCTGCCTGGTCTTTAAGAACTGCTGCACAGGCATTGCACCACACACCCCATCCCTCCAAGGTGTGGAAGATGCTCACCAGACAGGGATTGTTTGGGGGTTGAGTCACCAATGACTGGCTCCCCTAAAGAGCTTCACGTACTTTATCTTCCCCCACCTTCAGCTTCTATTCCTCTTTCTTTCTTTGTACAACAAGATTATTTGATTATTTTAATTGCTGTTCTGACTTTTATTATTATTCATGACTATAATTAGTTTAATAGTTTTATTGTTTAATCTGTTTTTAATTTATTTTTAATCTGTTTTAATGATGTTTGCTAGCTATTGGCTAGAGTGCTGTTTCATTTAGAGTTTTTTCCTGAAAATGCTAGATGCATAAATAACAAAAAAGGAAATATTATTTGATTATTTTAATTGCTGTTCTGACTTTTATTATTATTCATGACTATAATTAGTTTAATAGTTTTATTGTTTAATCTGTTTTTAATTTATTTTTAATCTGTTTTAATGATGTTTGCTAGCTATTGGCTAGAGTGCTGTTTCATTTAGAGTTTTTTCCTGAAAATGCTAGATGCATAAATAACAAAAAAGGAAATAATAATAATAATAATATAATAATAACTGAGAACATTTTTTTCTCCCATGCTCTTAATAGATTTTTTTTTCTGTGTCCACTGCCTTATGGCTTCCATTAGTATTTTCACTGTTGTCATTACGGTTGTCTTGGTTTTTACAGACAGACAGACAGACAGACAGACACAGACACAGACACACACACACACAATAATATTGAATATTGTTTCACTGTGAAGTGGTTGTGTAAAACTTTTTTTCCCGTTAGCTGTCTTAGGAACCTTACTGAAAGGTGGACAATTAATGCTTTAGACTAGAAACTTAAGATAGAACTTTTAAGAAGTTATCAAAAAATGATGAGGAAAACAAATTGTCTCATCAAAAGCATTTATGTGAGTCATGGAAAGGGTATGTTGCCTACAAATGCACTTGCATCTTTCCACATGTCACACACAACCATAATGCCTCTGCTTATTTGGAGTGGTCAGTTATTCCTCATTAACAAAATACAGTAATTGTGAATTGAATCGTAAATTAGATAATCAGTGCAAGAGGAAAGAGAACTTGAGGAGGAGGAGGAGAAAACACCAGGAGCTCCTGCAATTATACAGGCATGTTTTACACACTTTGCAAAAATCACTGGTGAGGCTTTCGCCAGGACTGCTTATGTTGCAATTACTGTATATATTTATCTCTTCCTCCATGGGGAAAAATATTTTCAGATGATAGCAGAACAGAGAGTCAGAGACAAACCTAGGATGAACTCTTTACCTTGACTGACCAGTTTGTTTGTTTGTTTGTTTGTTTGTTTGTTTATTTATTTATTTATTTAATATCCGTACCTTGACTGACCAGTTTATTTATTTATTTATTTAATATCCCGCCTATCTAGTTGATTAAGACCACTCTAGGCGGCTAAATAAAATAAATAAACCCAAGTCTTCCTCGCAGGTATCTGAGGACAGGAAAATTTATGACTTGCCAAAAGTGAGTCTGTAGCTGAGATGAGACAAAACCCTTAACTTTTCATAGAACAAAGACCAGAAATGGGATGATTTGTCAACTACATTTTCTCCCACATTCAATTTTTCTTGGCACGAAAACATTACCTTGGTGCAGAGCTGTTCAAAGTTACTTTTGGGTGGAGCTATGTCTTTGGAGGGCAACTCACAGAACCGTGGTGAGGAATTCTTGGAAATAAATTTCTAAAACGCAGATTTGTCTCAACACACTGAATCCCTAGAATTCAGAAGCTGTAATTCTAAAAGTTAAAAAAAAAAGGTAAAGCTTTCCCAAGCTTTGGAATTCTTTTAAGCCTCAAGCCTCTCATATCCTGAATATGAAGGGGGAAAGGTGGATATTGGTAAATGCTCCAAATCCAAATGAGAGCAAAACCCTTCCCATTAGAAATGTTCTAATTCAATGGGGACAGTTATGGAGAGGTTATCCTAATTTTATTAATAAAAGGTGAGGAGCTTTTCTGAGAATAAAGAACTGGCGACCCAAAATTCGGCATCATCCCAGTTGAACACACCGAGGTTTAAACCCAGGCTTCGATGGGCAAAGCACTCAGCCCCAAAAGCTGTGGATAGGCAAATATATGATCTTATCCTGTGTGTTCTCTGGGTTAGTGCAGCTGAACATAAAATAGCGTTCAAACTGCCAGTCCTCCAGATGTTTCCAATAGGTCTGGATAACTCTTGGATAAGTGGGACTGTAACACGACTTCCTCCTTAGGACCACTTCACACAAGATGATTTCCTTTCTGCTTATCATTTCCAGGTGGATGAGCTGTACGTCGCTTGGACCCCAACGCCAGTGAGGGGGCAAAAGGTCTGCACGTTCAGCTCTGTGTACACCCAGCAGGAAGCCCTCCGCACACACGTGTTCGTACCCCATGAACACGTGTGTGTTGCACATGTTACGGTAGACATGTGAACTTGTTTTCCTTCCCCCCACAAACCCAAGTGACAGGCAGTAAAGGATACTGACCTTAAATCACCCCTTTCCCTCACAATTCTGCTTCTAGACCTTTTATTTTTTTCACACGGCGGAGGGGGTTTTCTTTCAGTCCATCGGTGCACAGTATATGCAGCTCTGTAGCCTCCATCTGCCTCTCACTGCCAAACACCTGGGTGAAGCAGAGCAAAAGGAAATAAAAGGAAACTTCACACAGTTTGTTCCAGAGGCAACCCAACACCTCCTGGGTTCTTTTCTGGTGGTGAGAACTTGTCAGCAAGCTATTTTCAAAAAGTGTGGGAAAGAGAGAACTTTATCATGTACTGCCCTACTGTTTGATATGTGGATGTGTGTGTGTGAATGAGTGAGTGTGTAGAGAAAGGGAATAAGAAAGAAGCATTTTTTTAAAAAAAGTGGGAATATCGATACTCCAGTGAACGAGTGTTTGGAAGGATGGGGTGGGTGGGTTTAGATACGCCAAGTAACCCTTGGATAACAGGAACACACTCTTAACATGCCCCGGGGCACCATTGAGGTGTCCCAAAGAAAAGCGAGGGCTTCCTATTAAAACAATAGGAAAAGGTTGAATCCTACATTCAATTCAGCTTGAAAACGCCCTGATGCCAAAAACTGGTTTGTCCGTTTTTCTCTCCTGGTCGGAAGAGGAAGCCAGAAGGGGATCCTAATAAAGTCTGTATAGTGGGGAGGTGTGTGTGTGAAACACACCAACCCAGGTTGCCACTCCAAGGGGAAAAAAAAAAGAAATTGCTCAAATCCAGTGGTCTCGTTTCTCTCACGCCCCCTCCCCTCCCTTCGTCCTCCCCCCCCCCGATTTTTTTTCCCCTACCGAAGTGCCTGCGATCAGCAAAGTCCTGTCTCTTTAATAAACTGACTGCCTTCTGTCTGCTCGGAGTAAATTTCATCCTGTCATCAGGTCGCGGAGGAGGAGTTTGTTAATGTACAGTTTGCTCAGTGGATCGATGTTTGCTGGCATCGCCTCGCCCTGCCTGTGTGTGTGTGTTTGTGGGGTTTGTCTGTCTGTGTTGTGTGTGTGTGCGCGCGCGTGTGGGATCTGCGTGTGGATGTGTGTGCGTGTGCATGCGTGTCTCTCTCTCTCTCTCTCTCTGGGAATGTGAGTGCGCGGCAACACCAGATTTCCTTTCCATCCCAAGCTTGTCTGTCCTCTTCCATATCACTCACAACCTGCCATCTGACAGCAACAAACCTGCAGTTTTCTCAGCAAAACACTCAGCAATCCGCCATATAGAGATCTACGCGAACGAGGCGGCGAGGAGGAAAGAGAGAGAGAGAGAGAGACGGGAGGGGGGGCCAAGGAAAGGAAATAGCAACAACCCCCCCAGCCTACACCCCGAGCTGCTTGACAAAAACAAAACAAACTATTGATCCATCTATATTTTTTTGATATTTATTGATCCACTTTAAAGGACAGTGGCGAGGGGGGTCCAGAGGGGCTTTGCATCGGATGTTCCTGGATGTTCGCATCAAAGCAAGTCTTGCAACAGTTCAAACAAAACAAGAGCCAGAGAGAAGGGGGAGGGAAGCAGCCTCCCCCCTCCACGACCCCAGCGTAGATCTTAAAAAGAATAATAAGAATAAGAATAAGCCTAATTATAATCCTAAGAATCCGAACAGGTTGATCTCTCTTTAGAGAAGTGCGAGGGAAGGGTGATTCTTCTTGAGGGGGGGGAAAGCAGCTGAGGGAAAGGAAGAAGGGGAGGGGGGAATTAGACAGGCGCGCATACACACGCACACACGGAGGGAGAGATAGAAAGAGGCAGAAAACAAGCCCCGCGAGCTGCCGAGCTTTCTCGGATCTGGGAACAGAAGTGAAGATTGGCGAAAGTACAGCGATGCCAAGGAGGAAACAGCAGGCACCCAAGCGGGCAGCAGGTAAGAAAAGCCCAGCCGCTCTCGGCCACCCTCGGCGCCTCTTTGGATCCTGGAATGCCCTCCCCTCCTGCTGCCCCAAATTCTTCGTTTTTAGGGGTCACTTCCTTTGTATCGCTCTCTTTTTTGACAGAAGCTTTATTTTCATTTTTTTCCCTTCTCCTCCCCCCCTTTCCCCACCCTCTCCCTACGCACGTTCACACGTTCCAGCGTTGGGGCATCTTGAACCGGTTTCTCTCGGAACCCGTGAGGAGCCGCCTGCAGTTTCGAATCTAGGGGTTCTTTTTTGGGGGGTGGGTGGGAAAGAAAGGGGTGCTTTCGCTCCTTGCCTCCGCGCTGCAACCTCGTCTCCTTCTTAAACTTTTTCCCCCCAACTTTCTTCCGCTTGGTTTCTCACCTGATTCCCCTCCTCTCTCTCTCCCCTCCTCCCTCCCCCCCCATCATCCTTGCTTTGCATCTCTAACGTCGGGATACGTTCAGAGGGACCTATTTTGTATTGTTTTTTATTGTAAATTATATGCATAAAGAAGAGTATTTTTTAAAAACATACACACAATTGGGGGGGCGCTTCTGCACGTGTGTTTGCATCTCTCTCTGTGTGTTTTTGTGTGCTCGTAAACTAGCACGAGGGAATGTCTGTCTCTCTTGATGAACCCTCTGGTTGAAGTTCAAGCCTTTGATCATCCCTGAAAAAAAAAACTGCAACAGGAAATAAAATGACCATTCTGACGGTTAGGAGACAGCCTTTTAGATTCTAATCAAACTAATCTTTCCCATCCTTTGCTTGCACATTGTTATTCCAGTTGTTGATTTGGGGTTTTTCTTTTTCTTTTCTTTTTCTTTTTTTGTTTTAAGTATTTAAAGGCCTCACAGAGCTCAGATGCACTGAGGTTAGGTTTGAAAGAACTCAAAAACAGCCTCCAACTTTTGGGAAGTCTTTTGATTTGGTTGCTGGAGAGTCAGATGACAGGGAAATGGAAGCTGAAAAGTTGAGAAATGAGGAAGGAGATGGGCCTGTATCACAAGTCCCTTTCAAAATGGGCTGGGATTGTGCACATCCCTTTCTTTGTGTGTGTTAATGTAAGTTTGGTTAATTGCTTCGAGACGGATAAAACGGTTCGCTGAGAATTTGTTCCAGGGCAACGTAGTATGAAAGTTAATTTTTCTGCCACCAGACCCACCCACTGAAAAAAAAAATCAGGTTTCCAGTTGATTGCCAGCTTTGATTTGACATTTGATTGATCACCTGTCATCTTGCTGCCTTTGATCTATTCATTCTTGATATATATCAATAAATCACTCACTATGGTAACCTGACTGCTAGTGACGCAAGTCTTGCCCTCTAGAATCTTTTAGCCAGACATGCACAATTATTATCTTGTTTGGCTTTAATGTGGGTGGGATTTTTCTTTTTTTTTTCTTTGTGTTCAGCGGGATTAGAGCTATACACTGAAGCTATGTTGTTGACTGTACAGTATTTAAAAGAAAAAAATTACACAATCTTACTGCATTCACCAGTATAGAAACTATCAGATAGCATTTTATATTTTCATTAGACACTGGATAACGTTGCTTAAGACAGGAGAAACTTTCAGGGTATTTATTCAAATAAATTTTGTGCAGTAGGCCATGGGTGCTAGTTTAAGGCAGAAATGATATGGGGGTGAGAGTGGGAGAAAGGATCTGAGAAACTTTTATGGACTTGTCCCAGATTAGTTTTTGGCTTTTTAAAAAATATTCTCATGTTAACTTTTATGCATGTAAAACCCTCTTTTCCCCTCTATAAACCATAAATAAATCAAAATTAGGATTGCAATCCAAATATCTGTTAGAATGGTCTCAAAGAAGATTAATTTGGATAGAAATGATAACTAGATATCAGAGGGACCATTTTTTAGGGGCATTTAGGACAATAGTTTTGACAGACATTTAGGACAAAAGCATAAAAGTACACTTTTTTTAAAGAGAATCTTTACCTGGTCACTGCTTAATTCACTTGCCAGAAAATAAAGAAAACAAAAATTGACAGCTTTTCCCTAAGAGTTCAATAAGAAATTCAGATCCTTCATCTGAAACATTTTCAAAAGGCTCTATTCAGCACTGCTGTCTTTGTTTCTGAATTAAGACATAATGACTCAAAGGAGCATTTACATTGCCACTGTGGATGATGATTATTGCCCAATCCTTGGTCCAAAATGTATACAGTTGATTTCCATAGCACACATATTTTCCTTTTAGTCTGACTTTCTCAACTTCCTTTCTTTTTCAAAGTGTGCTAGAATCTGGGAGAATAGGGTTGGTATAAAAAGGTGTGCAATGTACCCCATAGCAAACAAGACGGCACACCGGAGGGGTCATATTTGACCACATCATCCTAATTAATTGATATAAGCTTTGGTTCTCATCCGGGCTGGCACTCCCCTGATCGTAATTTCCATGGGTTTCCTGTAAAGATTTTTCAAGTGCTTGGTTGCTGTCTGAAAATTGAACTTGGGTGCCTTTCAATCATTTTGTTGTGAAAGGTGTACTTCTCCAAAAGTTGTGTGGTCCACTTTGATTCTCTTCCTCTTCTGCTCATGTACTTTCAGGGTGTGAGTTGACTGATTCTTTAAGGGCAGTTTGGTTTTATCCCATACAGCAAGCCCGTTAGAAGCAACTTTGTACCATCTTAATAAATCTGCTTAGAGTTTTTGTGTTGTCTTTTGAAATCTATTCCTAACTGTTGTAATAAGTTTACAGTACTTTCATTTCTCTAGCAGTGGAATAAAGGTTCTGTTCTATTAGGTGAACGCTGTCTCAAAAGTCTCAGAGTGGCCGTAGGCAGAACAAGGAAGGAGTCGGAGAAAGGATTGATTATCCAGATGTTTGGCACGAGTATTCTTCTTTTCTCTCTTGATGTGCAAGTTTTTAAACACAGTTCTTGGATATGAAAGAAAGACTGTATACATTCCAAAAGTTCTGCTGGATTTCTGGTCAGTTATGGCTTTGACCACATTGGTTCGGAAAAGTTTGTAACTTTTTTCTTTTGCTGTTATCCTCTAAGGGCAGACAGAGGGTAATTATTATGATTCTGGAGGTGGCAGCTGCCTTGGTCAGTGCCTGAAATTAAATCAAATGCACAACTGTAAATAATCACGTCTGAAGCATTGACTTCGAAAGCAGGTTTCTCATTTGATTAATGAACAATGTAAAGGTTAGGGAGAACAAGAAAGTGAATCAGCAGGATTGTCCGGCTGGTTGATGAAAATCTTGCCTCCATAGCTAATCTGCCTTTTTAGTTTTAAACAGCTAGATCTTTAAAAATTGAGGAATGTTGAAATGAAACCTGGTCGTGTAGGTGGATAAACTGCCGGGCCGGGGTGGGGGTGGATTTAGGTTTGATGGTGGCACATTTCATCCTTAACTCTTAAAAAAGCAACAACGCATACTCTCAGAAAGTAAGAAAAAGATTGATATAAACCATATATGTTATAATTGACTTAATGTTTTTACAGCAACACTGTTCTTCTTTTTCACGATTGTCTGCGTGCCCCTTGATGCAGATGTTAGCATATTTTAGATCAGTTCTTGCCATTCTGTCATACATTTATTTGTAATGATATTTTACATGTGCATTGTGATCTGCCATCGTTAAAGAGCCCAAGGTGCTTTGCCGACTGTCGGACTGATTCCCCCCTTCTCCCATGGTTTGGAGACAGGAGGGATTCTCCTGTAGCCAATGGGATTACATTGTGGTAAGAAAGATGAGCATCAGGCTGGCAATGTTGTTGCTGAATTATAAAAATGCATCTGTCTCTGGGGAGTAGCCATTGCACAAGTCAACACAATTGAGGGGAGAGGAAAAGCTAGGACTAAGACTGAATTGATATGTTAATTCCATTTTTATTTCTCTATATCGGAAATAGCTTTCAAACCCAATTCCACAGGATTAAGCTCTCCTTACCTCCTACAGCTTGTTGAGATGTGCATATTTTATTTTCCAAATCATGAAATTACTGCTTTATTGCTCGTGAATATAAATTTGGACTTAACACTTTTCTCTTCTGTCCCCCTCCCTTTTGGTTCTCCCTGCTCTCTCTGTTGGATCTGTTTAAGAAGCCCAAGCTCTAAAGTACCAGAGAGAGAGAGAGAGAAAGAGAGAGAGATATAGTGCAACCAACCAGGTGCATTGACTTTGTTTATGGGAGCTAAAAATGAATAATGCAGATTTTGTTTTCATGGAAGTCCTTGTGTGGCAGTAAACATAAGGCTATTAGCAATCATTACTTAAAAGTTGCAATTTGTACGTTAATAGTACCACCTTATTAAAGTCAGGAATAATCCATTCAAGCAGGGCATCCTGCATGCTTCCGGCTAGGCTAGTGAAGACATGGGTCTGACGTGTGGTTTAGGAAGAGCGGTGCGCCTGCACTCATGTTGAAAGGTTTTGCTTTTATGCAAAGTTACTTCTAGCCCTGTTATTTGAAAGATAATAAAACTGGATTCTGAGCAAAATAGGCCTAAATTGTGCTTTAGAAATCTGCAGCGTCCTTCTTTTATCCTCCCCCAGGAAAGGAAGTGCAGATCAAAAACATCTAAATATCTCTTGGCTCAGAATTCCTCAGCTCATCTCCTTATACCATAGCACTGACAGTTGACATGAAAGCAAACGTAGTCGCAGGAGAGGGGGAGCCTGGGCTTCTTAGATGAGCGACATGGCTCCTTTCTTGGCTGCAGTGTTTGATGCCACCTGAAATTGTGTTTGGAGAAGCCCCGGTCCCTTTTTGATTTGAAAGTGAGGGCTTCGGCTGAGAACATGCAACCACCCAAGAAATGTGTGTAGTGTGCCGTCCGCAGTATCGTTACCTGACTATTCAGCCTGATGACAAGGAAATGACTGCTTGGAGGACATGTTGCTGGGGTTTTGTTTTTTAAATCAACTTTGCATCTTATAGCCAAACTATATTTTAGGCATCAGCAAGGGACCTCATATTAGGTATTCGCAGAATCCAGCCCCTGAAAAGAAACTGAAACTGTCTTGACCTTTGGACAGCTGTTGTTAGTAACTGAAAGCAATTTAGAGCCTGATTAGTATCAATAAATGTCAATAGTATTCACTAGTGTGCCTTACCAATGGCCCAGTTTTTACCTAATTTCTCTTCTTGGAGATAGTGCATCTAAATGATACATAGCAGATAGTTTAGCTGCTATGTCTCATGCAGAGGAAGCCCAGGATTTGTCATCTTGAGTAGACTCTGCCATCAGAGTAGACTTGGCTCTAAATGGACAGGGTATAAATAAATAAATAAATAAAATCTGGTGAAGGACTCAGAACACTTTCC